CTATAAACCCTGTGGTACAGCCTTAGATTTTATCTTTAATGGCCTTTTTTATAGTGTTCATTACTTTTACTTTTATACTTTAAGCAGTTTGAAAACCAGTACTTTTATACTTTTACTTGAGCAAAAAAGCTCGCGTTGATACTTCTACTTCCAAAAAAGTATTTTTAAACCCTAGTATCTATACTTCTACTTAAGTAATGAATGTGAATACTTTTGACACCTCTGGCTAGGACCCCCATAATAGGTCACCTTTAAATATTCAGAAACATATCAGACATAAAAAAGTTTTTGTCAGAAGAAATAGAAAATGTTGAAGCTAATTTACTGAACATTGTCTTTATGCTCTTAGTTGCTCTATGTCCTATGCTGTTGGACTGACTCTGTCCCATTCCAGTAAAATCACTTCCATTCTAAATCTTTTCAAATTTATTGCAGAAAATGCTTCATGCTGAGCATTTTGGTTTTCCCTCCAATAGTCATGATCAACACAAATGTTCATGTGATTTTTAACATAGGCCTGAATGATATAAAATACGCTGGTGATATCAGGAGTTTTCCCCATGAAAAATATGTCTGGTCTAAATATTTGTGCTTTATTTAAAGCTTTCTGCATAACATTGAAAAAAAAATTCACAGAACCTCATTTCGAAATGCTAAAAATATCCCTTAAAAATGCTGCATAACATTCACATCAAGAGTTTTTGTTTTACAACATGTCTCACAGGCATCTATTTTTACACAATGAAGTCATCTGGAAAAACCGGTAAACACAAAGAGATTCCAAGACATTTTGGGCCTTATCCATATTCCAGGTCTCTTACCGCCCCCCCTCAAATAAAATGCAGGCTGCTTGCAATGAACATTATTTAGTTATTATTGTCATTATTGTTGTCATTATGATTACTATTGTTGTTGTTTCTGTATTTCGCATCAATAATAGTAAAAATTTAATTGAGATTCAGTCTTATATACACTTTTATGTCTTGCACTTTGTGATCAATTTTCGTCAATTATTTTAAACAGTGATAGAATCAACTTCTGCATATGTAACCTTCTGCAGGATAAACATACTTGTTTAAGATTTCTGGTATATCTGCACTGATGTAAGAGGAACCACCCCAAGGGTTGTGACCAGGGTGTGACCAGGGCGTGATCAGGGCCACACACACAGGCGCTGAGGGGGAATGAATATTTATGTCTGAGAATAAATTTCTTGCAGCATGAATGACTGTGACCCCTGACATGACCTTTTGACCACCACCGGTCATGTCTCACAACTGAACTTTGTCTTGTAAAAACTTCCTTAGAAACAAAATTCATATTAGCTTTCAATAATCTGTCCTTGTTTGCAGATAATGCTGACGCATCAGTCTGTTTAAATCATTTGTGATTCATTATTATAAAAAAAGAAAGTAATCCATCAAGATTTTACTTTTTAAAGGATTTTCTATTTCAAGTGTGTATTATTAAACTATGATTTCTGAACTACAACAGTTGTTTGTGCCACAGAATGGATGTCAGGAAGGCAGGTCCCTTTGCCTTTCTTGAAGACTGGAACATTTGCTTACTACAACCCCTGGCAAAACGTTTGGAATCACCAGTCTTGGATGAGCACTCATTCAGACATTTCATTCTGTAAAGCAAACTCAGATCAAAAACATGATACAATAATAAGGTCATTCCAAAGTGCAACTTNGCTTCAGACTGAACTGAACCAGCGGCTGCTGACGTCATTACGCTCTTGCGTGAAATCCATTGTGGCTCCTCCCCCAGTTTACCCACTAGGACACTGATGGGTCTTAGAGAGGAGACGATGTCTCCCTCTTGGTTAGGAGGCGATGGGCCGGACCTACAGCCACCTGGGGGTGACCAGTGCGGCTGATTGAGCATGATTAAGCTGATTAAGCATAATCATTACTCAGGTTACATATGTATTCTTTGCCAGCATTAATATTGATTAACTTCAATAATTATTCCTGCTCTCTCTGCCGCTTCATTTTCTTCTCTTCTCGGCCTTCACCTCGATTCTTCCTGTGGCCTCTTTTCCTGTCACGCTCCCTCCTCTGCTGGGGGTCAAGCGGGGGCTCTGCGGGTCTGATTCCAATCCTAGTGACGACTGGGGCGGTCGGGTCTCTCGACAATTGTTTGTCCAACCTTAGGGATTTTAGTTTTCCTCAAAATTATAATTAGATTATGATCACTAAAACCAACAGGTATTGAAAGCGCTTCAGTGCACATATCACCTGAATTAGTAAAGATGTAATCTATACATGTTGATATTTTTTGATCCATCCTGTTTCACTCACACTGGATGGCTGAGTCACAACTTGTTTTAAATTAAAGCCTCCCTTAAAAATCTGAATTTAAGGGAGATGGTTAAATCAAATATAGATTCGGTGCCTGGCTCCATTAGGCCCTTTGTTCAATCTCTGCAGCTCAATCTGAAGTTGGTTCTGTCCCAAAGTTTGCAAATCCTGATTCCTCAACAATTCAGTTGTTTAATTTTGTAGAAAAAAAGCAGATAACAGACATGACGCTAAACTAAAGTCATTTCAAATGGCAACTTTCTGGCTTTAAGAAACACTAAAAGAAATCAAGAAAAAGTTGTGGCAGTCAGTAACTGTTACCTTTTTGGACCAAGTAGAGTGGTAAAAATATGGAATCACTCAATTCTGAGGAAAAAATGACGGAATCATGAAAAACAAAGAAACAAACAAACACTATAACATCACTAGTATTTAGTTGAACCACCGCTGGCTTTTCTAACAGCTGCAGTCTCTGAGKCATGGACTTAATGAGTGACAAACACTCTTCATCAATCTGACTCCAACTTTCTCTGATTGCTGTTGCCAGATCAGCTTTGTAGGTTGGAGTCTTGTCATGGACAATTGTCTTCAACTTGCACCAAAGATTTTCAGCTGGATTGAGATCTGGACTATTTGCAGGCCATGACATTGACCTTCTGTGTCTTTTTTCAAGGAATGTTTTCACAGTTATTTGCTCTATGGCAGGATGCATTATCATCTTGAAAAATGATTTCATCATCCCCAATCATCCTTTCAATTGATGGGATAAGAAAAGTGTCTTTTTCTTGATATCTTTTAGTGTTTCTTAAAGCCAGAAAGTAGCCATTTGAAATGACTTTGGTTTTGTGTGATCTGCTTTTTTTCTACAAAATTAAACTGAATGAAAATCGTCCAGTGATTCCATCATTTTTACCAGTGGTTCTACGTGTCAATAAATCAGGTGGTTTCTGACAGCTACAAGCTTCTGTTAACTCACTCTGAAAACAACACAGCAATGTGTTGATAGTAGAAAATGTAATTTGTACTTTTGAATACTTAAGTAATTTTAAATGCAGGTACTTTTGAATACTTGAGTAATTTGAAATGCATGTACTTTTAAATACTTTAGATTTTTGATGGAGTAACTTTTACTTGTAGTTGAGTAGATTTGACCCTGAGTATCAATACTTTTACTCAAGTACTAGAGTTGAGTACTTTGTCCACCACTGTTTATATAGGTGTGTCCACGAGGTGTCGTAAAGCAGACCAGTGTGTCGTAAAGACGCCTCTCTAACACAAGAACAATGGTGTTCAAGTTGGAAATAAAAAACTTTAAATTTTCATTTTTCTTCTTTTCCTCCAGACCACCCACACCGTGTCTGCAGAAACATTCCTGTTCATGAGCAGCAACCTCCACGGGTTAAAGAAGAACCAGAGGAACCTGAACTTCCACACATTAAACTTGAATCTGAAGAACCAGAACTTCCACAGATTAAAATTGAACTGGAGGAATTAGAACTTCCACACATTAAAGAAGAACCTGAGGACCATGAACCTCCACATGTTAAAGAAGAACCAGAACCTCCACGGGTTAAAGAAGAACCAAAGGAACCTGAACTTCCCCACATTAAACTTGAATCTGAAGAACCAGAACTTCCACAGATTAAAATTGAACTGGAGGAATTAGAACTTCCACAGATTAAAGAACCACCTGAGGACCATGAACCTCCACAGGTTAAAGAAGAACCAGAACCACCTCTGGTTAAAGAAGAACTAGAACTTCCAGTTGTTACAGAAGAACCAGAACCTCCACAGGTTAAAGTTGAAAAACAGGACCATGAAGCTTCACACATTAAAGAAGAGGAGGATTATCTCTTCATTAGTCAGGATGAAGAGCAGCTTGAACTGAAGCAGGAAACCAAAACCTCCATGGTGACGACTTTTGTTGAGCAAAGTGATCAGATGGAACCAGAACCAGACAAAGACCAGGTCCTCTGTGAGAACAGAAGTTCCAGCAGCGATACGGACATCTCCTCAGAGACTGAGACTAACCCTGACACAGATCAGAAGTCTTTTCAGTGTGACAAATGTGGGAAAAGTTTTAAGAGTAAAAGATACCTAACAAAACATCACAGTGTTCACACAGGTGTGAAACCATATGTTTGTAAGTTATGTGGGAAAAGTTACAGACTAAGCGGTTATTTGTCAATTCACATGAGAATTCACACTGGTGAGAGACCATTTTCCTGTAACACATGTGGGAAAAGTTACTACAGTAGTGGTCACTTACATGTCCACAAAAAGAGTCACACAGGTGAGGGGTATGTTTGTAAAATTTGTGGGAAAAATTATTCGAGCTCTTCTACGTTACACAACCATCAGTCCGTTCACACAGGAGAGAAACATTGTTCTTGTAAAATTTGTGGGAAACGTTTCAGGAATTTTGCAAAATTAGATCGGCACATAAGAGTCCACACAGGGGACAAACCATATTGTTGTCAGACGTGTGGGAAATGTTTCATAGATAGTTACAAATTGAAGGTCCACACTTTTGTCCACACTGGTGAAAAACCTTATTGTTGTCAGACGTGTGGGAAATGTTTCATAGATGGTTATGCATTAAAGGTCCACACTTTGGTCCACACAGGTGAAAAACCATATTCATGTAAAACTTGTGGGAGATGTTTCACTACAAAGGTGACGTTAAGCTCACACATGAAAACTCACACAGGTGAGAAACCGTTTGCTTGTGACAAATGTCCAAAATGTTTTACCACTAAAAGAAGTATGATKGAGCACATGAAAACACATACGGGGGAGAAACCGTTTGCTTGTGACAAATGTCCAAAACGTTTTACCACCAAAAAATGTATGATGGAGCACATGACAATTCACACGGGTGAGAAACCGTTTGCTTGTGACAAATGTCCAAAACGTTTTACCACTAAAGGAAGTATGATGGAGCACATGAAAACACACACGGGTGAGAAACTGCATGCTTGTGACAAATGTCCAAAATGTTTTACCACTGAAAGAAGTATGAAGAGACACATGAAAACACACACGGGTGAGAAACCGTTTGCTTGTGATAAATGTCCAAAACGTTTTACCCGTAAAAGTAGAATGATGGAGCACATGAAAACACACACATGAGAAAACTTTTACGGGTGAGAAACCATTTTCTTGTGAGAAATGTCCAAAACGTTTTATCACTAAAAGATATATGATGGAGCACATGAAAACACACACGTAAGAAAACTTTTTTACAGGTGAGAAACCATTTTCTTGTGAAAAACGTTTGAAACGTTTCTATTCTAAACAAGGTTGGATGAACCACATGAAGACTCACACAATGTAAGATATCTGAAAAATATTCACACAGGAAACAGGGTTTCCCCTACTTGTAATTGATTGTGGCGCACCCCCATGGCAAAATAAAAGCCGCCACATCTTCAGAATTAAGTGTTTATTTTATTTATTTATTTTTATTTTTTAAATCAACGTAAAACGGGTTGACACAACCATTGTTTAGGTTGTCTGAGACAACCTTTTCTTGCTTCGGACAAACGGATCCTGCCTCCTGTTGTCCAAAAAAAAAAAAGACTTTGATTAAAGTTTTCCACCGCGGGTGTTCGTCACTGTAAAAATAAACGGGAGCCCCCCAGACTCTCAGGGCTGCTGCTGTTTTGTCTGAAAGTCTGAATGTTTGATCCAAAGATTCCTCAAACTCTCTGGTTCTCTTGGATCCATTGAGCTGCTGAGACAGGCAAAGGCACTGGGGAGATGACTGTGGTTCATTCTTCTATCCGTGCACAAGTTTACATTGACATTTTGGACAGTTTTCTCATCCCTTCAATTGAACAGATGTTTGGAGGTGATGAACTAATTTTCCAAGATGACAATGCATTGTGCCATAGGGCAAAAACAGTGAAAGCATTCCTTGGAGAAAGACACATTCAGTCGATGTCATGGCCTGCAAATAGTCCAGATCTCAACCTGTCGTGTATTTTTTCCAAATACAGGACTTAGATTTATAATTATTTAGTTTTAGTTTTCTGAAAAGTTAAAGAGTGAAATCCTAGTTCCAATGCAAAAATCACCCAATAATCAGGTTTCCAAATGATGAGAAAGTAGGCTTCGATGCAAGTCCATGCCTCAGAGACTGCAGCTGTTATAAAAGCCAAAGGTGGTGCAACTAAATACTAGTGATGTATTTTGAATGGTCTTTTGTTTATCTGTTTTTCATGATTCCATACTTTTTTCTTCAGAATTGAGTGATTCCATTTTTTTTTCCTGTGCTTGGTCAATAAAAGTAACAGTCACTGACTTCCACAATGTTTTCTCTTCATTTCTTTGTGTTCCCGAAAGCCAACAAGTTGACCTTTGGACTGACCTCATTATTGTATCATGTTTTTGATCTCAGTTTGTTTTACAGAATGAAATGACTGAATGAGTGCTGATCAGAGACTGGTGATTCCATACTTTTTGCCAGGGTTTGTATAATGACTTTTTATTTCTATAACTCCAATGGGTATGGGCATAGTTATCATAGAACTAGATACCTAATGGCGCGCTGAATTGCATCGTGTGTTGCCGCCATATTAGATGGGTCTCTCCTCACTGTAGGCAGCACCAGAGCGAGCAAATATGCCCCTGTTTTGTGCATTAATCTGTGCAGTTTTGTAAACAAATCTCACAGGATTACCTTTTTCTAAAGAAGGTTGAACAAGTTTAGGATATTTGACCATTTCTAATATATACATACAGGGACGGAGTGGGGAAATTTTTCAGCCCAGGAGTTTAATGGCCAAGACTGGCCCAATTTTTGTGCATATAAAAAATTAGACAAAGATGTAGCACTAGCATGTAATATATTTTTTGTATTTTGTATTCACTTATCAAAACCTGCCTCTTCACATTCATCAACAACAAAATAAATGTTTCTGCTGTGGTA